TCAGAAGACCAGCATGCTGATCGAAATGCTGCTGGTAAAGGCCAGGCTCAGAAGGTTTCAGTCAGAAGCAAGGACTGCAGTGGCTGTTAGACTCTAAAGTGTGTGTATTATGCTGTGGTAGAAAACTTGTCTGCAATTTGCTCTTCTCCAGACTTTGCCTGAAACTGAGATTAAAGGTAACTGACTAATTTGGTAGACAAAATTTCAAGGCAGTCTAATGTTGAGGCTATGCATGACTACTGTTGGGGGCTTTTAGCCAGACCAATTTTAAGAATCAAGAACAAAGAGCTCTGCAGAATTATTTCAAACATTTTGAGTCTGGCCAGAAAGGAAGCTTCAGTAAAGTTGTGGACTACAAAGATGGAATAGAGAATGTGGTTGCAGAGAAGGAACAGAAAAGATGGCCTGAGTACATCCCCACAACCAGTATTACTCTACCCTTTGCGGCTGCAAAGCTGCAAAAGTCTAAGATTTTCTTTAAGAGAGCCCCTGAGTACCAAGTTCTAGAATGGTGTTGGCCTAGAGAAGTTGCTCCTTGGGGTTTGGTTCAGTGCTCAGCAATCTAGACACTTGACTCTTACAGTCAAGAGAGGAGGAGGCTGGGTATTGCTCCAACTGGTGGCAGACCTCAGTACCATCCATGTGGTGCTAGTTTTAAATGCATACAGAATGCAAGAGTTGTGGGGTCAGGAAGGGTTCCATACAGATTTCAGAAACAAGCCCAGGAGGCCAGGTAGTGTGCCCGAGAGCACAGTGCGTTAAGCTGTGCGTGTAAAGCTGAATGGTTGGTAGAGACCCAAGAAGGCTGGAGAAGCCAGAATCACAGTTCATCTGAGCAAAGCTGCAAGGAATGAGCAGAGCCAGTGCGAGAGAGAAGTCTGAGAGCAGCAACACCTGCCCGCTGTAAGGGCAGAGCCCCCCATGGCCACAAACTCCCTCAGATGCTAGACATGCAACTATGGGACTTAATATTTTCCCTAATGGATTCTGGCCTTGCCTTGGTCCCATTTCCATCTAGCCCCTTTCTTTGGAATGGGAATGTTTATCTGGGGCCATTGTATGTTGGAAGTGTTTAACTTTCTTTTCTTTTATAGAGGGGCTCATAGCAAAGTTTCCCTCAAATCGCAAGAGACTTTTGGGAGCTGAGGGTGGAGTATTATGGCTTGCATGCTCCAAAGGCCCTACATGGCCATAGGAGGTGGTTTCAAAGATGGCTGGAGCAGGGTATGTGAAAGTGGATTAAAGGTGTGATGGTGGGTAAGGCAACTCCACCTGGGCTCGGGTGGTGCCAGTTAACAGCTTACAAGCTGGACAGAATGCAGAGGCACCGAAGGAAGGCAGGCCTGCCTGCTGCTGCTGCTTCCTGCCTCCTGCTTGTACTGCCACACCCCAAGCCATTTCTCCACAACGCTCCTCAGCCATGTCAGCCTGCTTGTGGCCAGCTGAAATCTCTGCTGACTGGACAGAGTCAACCTCCAAACCATGGACTGAAACCTCTACGAACTGTGAGCTGAAATAAGCCTTTCCTCCTTTACCTTAGGGGTCAGGTGTTTTGTCTCAGCACTGAGAGAAAGCAACTACCACAACCCTTTAGTTTTTTTTAAAAAAGTAAAATAGAAACACTGTGTAGATGGACTGAATGTGGAGGGTGGAGAAAGACCATTCACAGATGCCTGCAAAAGTTTTGGCCTGATCAAGGAGAAAACGGAATCTACCTTTTTTTTTTTTTTTAAATTTTATTTATTTGTGTGTGTGTGTGTGTGTGTGTGTGTGTGTGTGTGTGTGGCCAGCTCAGCCCACCAGGGGGCGGGGCTGGCTGGCATGTGGTGCTGGGGGATTGAACCTCGGTCCCTGTGCTTTGCTAAGCTTGTTCTAAGTAGGTACTTTAGACCACTCAGCCATCTCACCAGCCCTGAATCTACTTTTTAAGCAAACTGGTGATAGAAGTGGACAATGAAGAAAACACTTTTTTTTTTTTTTTTTTTAAACAGGGTCTTGCTAAGCAGTTCAGACTCACATTGATCCTCCTGTCTCAGCCTTCTCAGTGCTGGGATTACAGGCCTATGCCACCATGCCTGGTTTCAGTGGCTGGCACAGTGCACCTGGGGTTCTGGAGCTGGTACAGCATGAGGTACTGGGGATCAAACCCGGGTCTTTGTGCTTGCTAGGCAGGTGTTTAGACCAACAAACTATCCCCCCAGCCCAGAAAACAAGTTTTTAGTTTTGTCAACATAAGTCTGTGATATCCACGGACACCCAAGTGGAGACTCAGAAGGGACAAGGGGTGTTTGAGTATGGACTTCAGTGGAGAAGCTGGGCAAGAGATGTAAAGTGGGAAAAGTCACCATTATATGGGTAATATATAAAGCCAGGTAGTTATATAAGATTCCTTAGGGAACAAGGCGGGAGAGAGGAGAGGCTGGAGATCTAGGCCCTGGACAGCTATGTAATTTAGAGGTCAGAAATTTGAGAAGGAGCAGCCAGCTACAGAGACAAATCAAGAAAAAGCAGGTTTTAAAGTCAGGTAAAGAAAGAGGTAATGGAGACAGAGGGGGCTAATGCTGCCCACCCTGCCCACCCGCTGAGTCAGAGGGATGAGAGGTGGGCATTGTGCTGACAAGAGAGTCACTCTCACAGAGCAACAGCTGGGGCAAAAGTCGGGTAGGACAGGATTCAAAGCCAAACAGAAAAAAGTCGGAGACAGTGAGCATATGCAATGTTTCTAAAAGTTTCCTTAAAAGGAGGCAATAATTGAGGGGAATATGAAACCACATGGATTTTTGCTATTTATGTGGGGAGATAGCTGTATACTGCAGGAATAGTTCAGTAGGGGAAAACTGTTATGATACATGACTGAATAAAGATGCCACTGCTGTGAAAGTAAAGAAAAAGGCAAGAAAAGGTTGGATGATATGGCAAGGTTTTTCTCATTTTTCCCCTACCTGAGAAAAACGCTGATGACAGGATCTATGGTACGAAAAAGAAAACCTTTACGGCTAAGCTCAGCACTACATGGTATAAGTCCTGCCTGTCCTGTATGAGGCCATGGGTTTAATCCATGGCCAAGAAAAAAAAGTTTTAGAAACAAACTTAAGCAAACAAGTACATAAGCAAAGATGATCAGAATTTATATAAACGTCTCATTAAGAGATTCACCCCTTCCAGATTTTGGAGACTGTGTGTGTTTTGAAACAGGGCCTTGCTATTAGTCCGGTCCCAGCAATCTTCCTGACTCAGCCTCCTGATTCTCCCTTCATATTATCTAAACTATGTGAAATAAATGATGTAATGTCTATTAAAATACTTATTCTTGGGGCTGGTGAGATGGCTCCGCGGTCTAGAGCACCTACTTAGAGTGAGCTTGGCAAAGCAAAGGGACCACGGTTCAATCCCCCAGCACCACATGCCAGCTAGCCCCGCCCCCTGGTGGGCTGAGCTGGCCACACACACACACACACACACACAAATAAATAACAAATTTTAAAAAAATAAATAAATAAATAAATAAAATACTTATTCTTTTGTTTTTTGAATAACCATTTTTCCCTCCCTATGTCTATTACTCATGTTCTATGATTATCATTAAGATTCTTTATAAATCACAATGATCTAATTTTAGAATATCTTAAGACTATTTTTGTCAGTCAATGGACAAACTAGTTGAAAGTTTCTATTTTCATTTATGTCCAATTTTACACATAGTCTTGGAGCAGAGTGCTTTCCAAGCCTCAATAGTTGCTTTACTCTGAATCTACATTGACTTTTGAGTCTTTGCAGGCTTTGAAGTGAAAAAAAAAAAAATTTAAAACTAATGTAGTCAAATGTTTTAAAAACCATGGAAATGGGAACAACTTCCAATAACCACCAAATCTACACCTGGAAAACTTAGGAATGTTGTTTAAAAGAAAGAAACAAATTGAGTGGTAAAGAACAATTACACAGAGTAGGCACTGAATACAGGCTTGGAAATCTAGACTGTCTAAATTGAAGGTTGCTAAACGGAAAGAAAGCAGTAGTTCTAAGCCAACAACACAATTGTGTATTATTTTCTCATTACTAGCTTTCAAGACATTTGTATAACAGTCAATTCCATTATCTAATCTGGCTCCTCACTTAGCAGGATTTATTTTTTGCTTCATGATGCTTTTATCACATCCAGAATATGCTTGGGGGAACCAAAGAAATTGCTAAGTTATAATCATAAGAAAATTAAAAAAGAGGAGGTCAAACATTTAATAATCATACTTGTAGCCAGAAAACAGTAATATGAACAAACCCATTAGGGAATAACAATTTTAATGAGCAGTTATTTCATATATCACTGGACATAGGATATATTTTATTATTGAGACAATGAGTTTCTGATTTTTCAATTGCATAATAAGTTAAATGAATTTTAACTATTCAGTAGAAATAGCAAACAGTTTTGGTAACCCCCAATTGTAAGAAATCAAAGAAGTCTCAACACAGTCCTGTTTTTTTTTTTTTTTTTTTTTTTTTTTTTTATTTTTTCTTATTTATTTGTGTGTGTTTGTGTGTGTGAGTGTGTGTGTGTGTGTGTGTGTGGCCAGCACAGCCCACCAGGGGGCACGGCTGGCTGGCATGTGGTGCTGGGGGATTGAACCGTGGTCCCTGTGCTTTGCTAAGCTTGTTCTAAGTAGGTACTTTAGACCACTGAGCCATCTCACCAGCCCCACAGTCCTGTTTTTAACTTAACAAGATAAGTAAAAATGTTTAGCACAAAAATACCACTATTTGTTTTAGAATAGCATATAACAATGATTAACTTAAAGATCACATTATTTTTTTTAGTTTATATTATTATTATTATTATTATTATTATTATTATTATTATTTTTTTTTTTTTTTTGCGGAACCAGGGATTGCATTCAGGCCCTTGTGCTTGCCAACGAAGCACTTATTCTACTGAGCCATCTCCCTGATCTCTAAGATCACATTATTGTAATTTATTATTTCTTTATTTTGACAAAACAGCTCACCTGGTACAAAAAATTCTGTTGGTACAAACCAGTGAAATTCCAAATGAAATCCCAACTGAATAGCCTTCAAAGTGACAAGAAAAATCAAATAGATAACGGATACTGTGCCTGGAAAAAAATATTAAGGAAAACATTAACTTTCATTATCAGAATACTTTAAAATTAAATTTTATCTCCATATTCTCAACAAAGTGCAGCACATTATTACCTTCATTGATTATTCCCACTAAGATTCAAGCTGAATCACATGCATTACCAGAAAGAAAAAAAAAAAAAAATCAATGTAGAGGAAGCCTAAGAAAGCGCTGGATAAAAGTAGCTTATATAAAGCTGAATGCAAAGCTGTTTAATTTATGTATGCACTGAGGTTGGTAGAAAAAATAAGTATGGATAAAGACAATGTGGTTACTTATATACAATGGACTACTACTACTCTGCCATGAAGGGCAAGCGAGTCATCTGTAGGAAAATGGATGCACTTTCAGACTATGTTAAGTAAAATAAATCAGTCACACAAACTCAAATACTGCAGGGTTTGTTTTGTATGAGACCCAAAACATAAATAAGATAAAAATAAAAGAATTAAGAAATGGAGGGCCTGGGGAGATAGCTCAGTAGAATGAGCGCTTGCCTGGTCAATCTCCGGTACCACAAACAAACAAACAAAAAAAGAAATGGAAGAAAGTGCAATGGAGGGGATGAGAAAAAAAGGAGGTGAAAAAAGAATTGAGATGCGTTATGTATATGAACCTGCACAGAGTGTAATCATTCTATGGCCAATGTGTACAAAAGATTACAACATTGTACAATTACATAGAAGAATAAAGTACCACAAAACCAGCCTTTTGGGTACTAGAGATTATTGGGAACACTGGAAATGTCTGTCACAATAGTTAATGTGAAGTGTTAAAGAAAAGTAGTGAATGTGGATCACAAACATCTAAGGAAAGGGATAAACTACACAATTTGTGAATAATCTGATCTAGTATCTACATGAGGTTCTGACTGGGTAGTACTAATTCACCGATGGAATGATTCCAGGTTCCATTCCAGGTACTACAGACAAGGCCAAGTAGTCATGCAGCATGTTTTAACAACACACAGGTCAGAGAAGGATTCCTTTTGATGATGTAAGTCCAGTCACTATGGAGCATGGTCCGAAAACCTAGGAAAATCCTTTGATTTTGGTTCCTCTAAAAAAGTTTCAAAGTAGAGAAAGTACCAAGAAAAGGCAAAAGCAGAATATGCTTAAGGAGTTAGATTATAATCAGTCTGGTTAGAAGTTTGCTGATTGTTTTGCCCCATGGAGCAAATCCTTCTATAAGTTTACATGCTTTTAAAAGACTTGTTCCACTGGAAAGTCAGCAAGTAAATCAGGAAACCACAAATGAGCTGCATAGGCTCTACTGTGGCTTTCAAGATTAGCTAATTCAGAAAGGATGAAAACAAGAGAGGAAAGCTCTTGTAACCACAAGGCTCCATTTTCCTATTATAGCAGCTTACAGTGAGGCAAAAGGCACAGAGAAGTATTTTTACTTCCTCTTTTTGCCTTCTATCTATATTCTGGCTTTCCATTTCCTGGAATCACTGATGTGATAGATAACCCCACTGTTTCGTATTATTTAGGCTGTGCTGTGCTATACTGTACACTATATAGGCTGCCTACTAACAGGTGGGATTTCTAGAGAGGCGGTAAAACCCTAGTCTATTTGGATCTATCAGTTTTCTTTTGTATTTCAGCACAGGGTCTCAGGGGCTCGCAGCACAGATCAGACTCATAGCGACCCCGCAGTGTCCAGCCTCGCAATAGCTGCATGACAGCCGAGCACCACCACACCCAGTCTCAAGGTCATCTCAGTGCGGTAGGGCAGGGCAGGCACGCCATGGTCCAACCCAGGCCCGCTGTGTGTCTGCCTAAGTCAGCGCTTTACTCCACTGAGCTATTTGGCCAGCCCAGGAGCTATCAATTTTCTTATCCTTGTATGTTGTTTAGTTAATCAGATTTGAGCTCTCTCTGGGAGTTACTTTTGCCATCTTACACAGTATCAACACATTCCTTTGGTGGTTTCTAAAATACTAGGACTCACAGAAACAGTGCTGTTTCTTTAAAGAGGCAACAGGATTCTATGAAAGAACCAGGAGCAGCACCAAGGAAAAGAGCAAAAGCAGAATATACCTAAGAAGCCTGAGTTGGAGAATGATGTCAGGTTTCAGGTCAGGTGACAATTCTGTGCAATACTTTTAAAG